TAACTTTCACATATAAATTCCGTTTTGTATTTAAATCTCACAGTATCTTTATCTCACAATTGCACATAGCCATGCCAAATTTCACGCTCCAATGGCTTTGCACAACATAAATAGCGCCCTCTAAAGTTCTGGGAATTGGCTTTCTCTCTGTGGCCGTATCTCCATAATGGCTTGGCAAACCCGTACCCTTTTTTGGATTTAGATACTTGAAGATATGCCCTTTCCAGCCATATACAAAATTATATACCCTTACACTGACCGACTTTGAGAAAAATGCCCTCCAAATTCGCCATTTTCGAGAAAATTCCAAAATAACTTCAACTTGCTCTAAAATCGCGATCTTTATACCTATATCAATGAAACTTGGCAGACATATGTATCCATATACGTGACAACTGTTTGCCAAGTTTGGTAAAATTCGAATATGTCAGCACAAAGTTATCGCCAAAAATGATGAATTTGCTATGCATTACGTAATAGTGCCTATAATGCGTGCAGTACATTGCGTGCAGATGACAATGGTGTCAAACTGACCGCAATGAAGTGCCCTTTCGAATGATACCAAGTATGGTATATGTTTACACAGAAAATCGTGAGTAAATCGCATTTGAACAAGGGTCACTATACGAATTCCGCCCGATTATAACACTTATCGGCCATGACGTCATTTTTTCAGACTACTTTTCGCCCCCTAAACATCCTTTTTTTTCCTTGAAAATTTGCAATGACATTCCGAGATGCAATACGCAGGGCACCTCGTGGCCTGATTTTTGAAATTGGTCAAGGGGGCCATTTCAGACGCCATTTTGTCCTATAAATCTATTTTACATCACATGTTTCGATAGGATTATCATAGGAAAAAAGAGAGTAGTTTACAATAACGACCATGAAATTCTCTTTCCAATGATACCATATACGGCCCATAAAGAGACATAAAGAGAGAGAGAAAAAACAATTTAACTCCGGACATAATACAGATCCTGTACGTTTTCCGCCCATGCGTTACACGCATTGTCTATGGGGCAAATCGGGTTCACGCTTTTGACCCCTAGAACGATCTTGATTGCAATGACGAACATGCAACTAATCCCATTTGTTTTTGCACGCAGTGCTTGCGAGCCCTTTCTAGGTTCTTTCCCCTATCCCAATTTCTTTCAAACATCGTAGGCATAGTCACTACCATCCCATCAAGGTCACTATTGAGGCCTTTCTTTCGCCCTACCTGTCTCCAATATTACAGAAGCTAAAGACTTCGTACAAATTGCTCTGGATAGTCCGAGAGAAGCTCTTTCGTTCGACACATAGAAACACGGCGTCATTGCACGCACATCGTTGTGACACGATTGCATTTCTAGTGTTATTTTTGTAATTATCAGGTGGGCTGTATATCGTACAGACCACCTTATAATTTCGTTAGAATTACCTTTATTTATTTATCAGGTGGGCTGTATATCGTACAGACCACCTTAAAATTTCGTTATAGAATTACCTTTATTTATTTATCAAGTGGGCTGTATGTAATACAGACCACCTTATAATTTTGTTAAAATTGCCTTTATTATTAGGTGGGCTGTATTTAACACAGACCACCTTATAATTTTATTAAAATTGCCTTTATTATCAGGTGGGCTGTAAAGCGTACAGAACACCTTATAATTTCGTTAGAATTGCCTTTATTATTTATTTTACTTATTTCAAACCATTTTTTTGTAAGCACGATTACTTGAAAATGGCTCAAATTAGGCACACATATATGTATAGGCATATGTACAAAACACAATAACGTTTTCAACTATGACCTTCACTGATGACGTCATCTAGGCGCCATTTTGTAAATTTTTCTGAAAATCAACTCATGATCATATCTTCATAACCAAAAGCCATTTTTGATTCATATTTATCATGATTAAGGTCAATATTCGTCCGGTCAATTTCAGGTCAAAAACGCGCGCGTGCGCGTACGTCCGCGCGTCAGTGCGCGCGCAAAATATTAAAATGCTCAAAGTAGTCTCAAAATAATGTTACATACGTTTTAGGCCATTTTAAGCATTTTATAAAAAATCTCGCACACGCGCATGCGCGCGTGTTTTCACGCGTTCTGGCATTTTGCAACAAAGAATCGCCAATTTTTCTTTGTCATCATATTTGGCACATTTTCGCAAGCATTTTGATACCTTGTTAACATATTTCTGACCATTAATAACGGAGTGAGCGTCCGTTTAAGATACACATCCGTGCGTGCGAGCTCTTGTAATACATAGCATATATTCGTCCCTGTTTTCACGAAGTGACGGTAGAGCGCGCAACTAAAAGAAAGTTAGTTTTGAATAAATCGCTTTCAAAGTTTCAAACCATAATCTCAACCTCTTTAATGTATCAAAGGCAAATAAATTTTATATCCTGGGATAGAAAATATCTTAATGTTTAGTTCTATGTTTAAATATTTCCATAATTTCTTATATTTTTGGGGGAAATGAGCTGTAAACATTACCGTCACTTCGTGAAAACACGAAATTCAAGGACGCGCTGTGATTTTGGTTTCACGAAGTGACGGTACGTAGCCGCGCGCGTAAAACATATGGGATTTTTCTCTCGTAGATGGAATTCCCGAAATGGACACTAAATACGGCAAAACGTTTTGTTTAATTGATGTACAGATAAAATAATTCAAACTGTGGGAAAGAGTACATTTTCCTCTTTCTGTAGCTGCTTTTTCATTTCTCTGTGTGAACTGTTAACACAACCGTCATTTCGTGAAAACACAAATTGCATAGAACGCTTTGATTTTGTTTTCACGAAGTGACGGTACGTAGCCGCGCGCGTAAAACGTATGGGACTTTTCCCTTGTGGATGGAATTCTCGAAATGGACACTAAAAACGGCATTATGTTTTATTTAATTGATGTACAGATAAAATATGCGAACTGAGAGATAGAGTACATTTTCCTCGTTTGGTAGCTATTTTTTTTTATTGATAAGAATAAACTGAATGTCTCTGTATGAACTTTTAACTTAACCGTCATTTCGTGAAAACACAAATCACGCAGAACGCTTGTATTTTGTTTTCACGAAGTGACGGCTCGTAGCCGAGCGCGTATAAAACATATGGGATTTTTATTGTGTGAAGCAATTTCATGAGATAGACACTGAAATACGGCAAAATTACTTGTATGTATGGATAAAATAAGAGCACCTTTTCTTCTTTGTATAATTATAATGTTAGATGTATGATGTCAGTTTTTGTTCACGAAGCTACGGCTCACAATAAATTAACTATCAATAGCACTGATGGATATTGGCACTAAGTGCTTTTAAAATGATTAATAAGCTATTCTCTTTAATCTTAGGCTAAAAATGGATATGTATTTAATATTATTTGAGGTTTAATTATCAGGTACATTGTATGTATAGGGAATAAAGATTGCACTAAAGTTACTATATACTTTCCACTTAAGAACACGTTCAAGTAGTCTCCCCCCCCTCTTTCTCCCTCTCACTCTCCCTCTCTCTCTCTCTCTCTCTCTTTACCCCCTCCATCTCCCCTTAATATCACACAAATTCTGCCATTTCTTGTTGAAATTCATGCGAGTGATATCAGGGCTTTTGCTACTCTATTACTATGAGGAATTTCTAAAATTTTAGAGAGGGGCCTAGCTAAATATATTTTTTCAGATAGGAAATAAAGCAAATATGTTAAGAAATATTTTTGAATGAAGGAAAAAGATTAAGTATTGACAACTGACCATAATCTGTAGTTAACTACTCAACTCTGCAATATAAACACAGAAAATGAATTTTGACTGAGCAGTTTTAATTCAAACATTTGGAACCAGAACAGCAAGTGGAAATGGAGCATATTTATTCAAAAATATTAAATAATTCATACCAAACATATCATCATCAATTATCATCAATACTGTATTGCATTTTAAAATGTACATTTAGGGTTTTGTGGAAAAGACTCATCAGTTATATACATCCACGGAATACGAAGGTTATTTCATTCATTATACAGTACTGGTAAATATGCTAAAATGTCTTTATCTTATTCTTTATATACGACCTGGTTATCATGTTTATTCAGCAATCGTAGCGAGTAAATGCCACATGTGACGTACAAAATGCTCGACAAACATGTACTACATGTATCATGAAGTTTTTCAATGGGAAAAATGACTAATATAATCATCATCGTTACTTTTTTGTTCATCACTGTTTTTCATAAATATCTTGTGAGTAGAGTATCAGAACCAAGTCAGTTTACACAATCTCTTTCTAAGGTATTTCAATGAAATTTAGTACACAGTCTCAAACGCTACAAAGTTTACCAATGCTTAAAGATTGTCTTTACCCAGGTAAACACGTAATCTCTGACTAAACTATTATCAGCTAAACAATGCATGATAAACATGGAAATATCAATTTGACTAAACAATTTCATTTCTCATCAAACAGATACAATTCAAAACAGCAACATTATATTGTATGATCATTATAGGATAGTTTGAAGTAGCAAATACAATTATGATGAGAATGACTATAGAAGTAATAAATTAAAACATTAAATGTGAACTAGTAACATTGTGTTTTGAGAGAAAAACCAATTGTTGAAATGTAACTTATATTCATGTTCTAATGAAGGCATCAACCCCTGTGAATACAAACATTTAAAGAAAATGGATAAACAAATTCTTCAATACAAAGATACAATATGAGGATTCATGGAACTGGAATCAAAAACTCTAATATGCATTACTGATCGAGGTAGGTATACCTGATAAATAGCAGTTCTGAGCTATACATTTGAATATTAAAGATTTATGTTTGCAGGAGTTCATTACAATACTGTAACAGAAAACTGACACCTGTACGACCATTCAGTTAATTGTTTCAGAACTCATGGAAAATGTTACCAGCTTGCTTTAAATCAATTCATTGATTTTATAATCAATCCATTTCATTTTGATTACTAGTACACACAATTACAATTATTAGTGGAGTTTGCTTTATTTATGATATTCAAAATGTTTAAAATCAAACAGTATAAAAGAGAGATTGAGGTATGGAAACATTGAAGCATTGCCAAAACGATCAATGTAATTGATTCTAGTTTCTCAAGCATGCCCTTCAACACAAGTCCTTCAAGTTTCTTCACACATAATGTCATCCAAGCGATAGTGGTTGAAGCAGAGAAGATCCTTGATCTAGACTGTTTGAAAGTAAAAGGAAATAAGAGAAAGAAAAATCATAATAAAAAAAGTCCAAGTCAAAATCAATAAAAAATCATTATCAGAATTTCAATTATGAAAGGGAAACTTTACAATGCATTATGATTGGGCAAAATTATTATGTGTAGTTTTGGTACCCAATTTTAGAGAGTCTCTTAATAAATTAAATACTTTATGTGGTATCACCTTAGTATTGGAATTTTTTTATAAGGATTTAAAAAAAAATTAATGCTGACCTCGATAGGACCACTCATTCCCTTAACTAAGAGACCTAAGCATTAAAAACAATTAAGAATATCTTAAATTTTAACTATTGGGAAACAATCAAGAAGGAAAAAAGATACCTTTTGACTCGCTCACAAGCATAGACAATGGGTCATCATCAGAATCGCAATCGGAGCCGTCAGGAGACTTTAAGGGTCACCATGCCAAGTCACACATGCAGCTCTGACTGTGTTCGGTGAATTGCTTCAACAGTGTTCGGTGAATTGCTTCAACGGTTCCATACCGCTCCCACTCTTAGGTCACTATGCCGAGTCACATCTGCAGCTCTGTGTTCAGTGAATTATCAAGGACCCATCTTACCAGCATGTCGGTCCCTGTATCCAATCTAATTTTGTAGAATGAAAGAAATAATTACAAGTTATTTTCTTTCATTTTTTTGCAAGCAGAGGTAAGGAAATGAATCCAATATTATCTTTTGTACATCAAATTAATTAATAGGCATAACTGACCCCAAACAGAAGTTTTCAATTGCCCCTATTACCCCAAAATAGAATTTTCCAATTGCCCCTACCAAACAACAACTACCCCTATGCACATAAGCAGTGAGTGTGCTTTAGTACTTTGCTGCTAAAGTGTGATTTTCTTGAACAGATCATGAAACTATTCTCACCTGGATTTGTGTCTGGCCTGTGGCATTCTTGAAAAGTAGATGTACTTTCCCAGTTCTTCCTTCATATAAGTGCAAATTGTATCTACTGCATCTGAAACTAAGTGAAAGCAAAAACATCATCATAATTTCATTACCACTGAAGTGTAGGTAGTGAGACATGTACATCATCTGGTATGGCATAGGCGCCGGAAGTGGGGGGGCAGGGGGGGCAGTTGCCCCCCCAGTCAAAAAAGTGGGGGGGCAAAACGCATTTTTGCCCCCCCTAAACGCCCCCCCCCTTAAAAAAAAAAAAACAGTAAAGGAGTAAACATGGTTTGTATTTTTAATCAAAAAGAACGTAACAATAATAAAAACCTGAATTAAATCACATATACAATTCCATTCAAAGAAAAAGGAAAGTTAACAGGAATTAAATTTCATAAACATTGCGCATGCCACCTATACGGGATTTATCAATGGAGGTCTCTATATAATAGCGATACGCGCATATCGTGGACATATTGTGCGAGAATGGGAAAGCGTGTCCGTTTTTTTGTTATAAAAGATGAGAAGACATGAGCCCCTGAACGCTGGCGTACTGATGGGGGGGGGGGGGGGGGGGGGGGGGGGGGGTGATGTATTTTTTATTCGAAACAAGTGATTTGCAAATGTTGATGTTGTGACATGATTTTCCGGGAATTTTTCTCCATTTTTTTTGTAATTCATACCTTTTTATGCGTTTGTTGGAAAAAAAGAAATTCCCAAATTACAGTCAGGCGAAATACGCTTATTTAGAAGCCTTTATGTCTTGGTCTGCAAAGTGGCTGGGCTCGAGCCCCCCCCCCCCCCCCCTCCTTTTTGAAAAAGTATGTTAAAGTGAAAAAGAAAGAAAGACGAAGAAAAAAATAAGTGACCTGCCAATGTCACAAATAAGGTATAAAATATGCTCATCTGACCGTAATTAAATGCTTAAAACCCCAGAGCTTACAGGGGCTCCGCCCCGAACCCCACCAAGGGCCCTAAGGCGGGCCCCTGGATGCTCAACTGACCGTAATTAAATACCTAAAACCACTGCGCTCCCGGGGGCTCTGCCCCCAGGACCCCACCAAGGGCCCTAAGGCGGGCCCCTGGATGCTCATCTGACCGTAAATAAATACCTAAAACCCCCAAGATTCCAGGGGCTCTGCCCCCTGGACCCCAACAAGGGCTCTAAGGCGGGCCCCTGAATGCTCATCTGACCGTATTTAAATACCTAAAACCCCTGCGCTTCCGGGGGCTCTGCCCCCTGGACCCCACCAAGGGCCCTAAGGCGGGTCCCTGGATGCTCATCTGACCGTAATTAAATGCCTAAAACCCCTGCGCTTCCGGGGGCTCTGCCCCCTGGACCCCAACAAGGGCTCTAAGGCGGGCCCCTGGATGCTCATCTGACCGTATTTAAATACCTAAAACCCCTGCGCTTCCGGGGGCTGTGCCCCCTGGACCCCACCAAGGGCCCTAAGGCGGGTCCCTTGATGCTCATCTGACCGTAATTAAATGCCTAAAACCCCTGCGCTTCCGGGGGCTCTGCCCCCTGGACCCCACCAAGGGCCCTAAGGCGGGCCCCTGGATGCTCATATGACCGTAATTAAATACCTAAAACCCCTGAGCTTCCGGGGGCTCTGCCCCCTGGACCACACCAAGGGCACTAAGACGGCCCCTGGATGCTCATCTGACCGTAATTAAATACCTAAAACCCCTGAGCTTCCGGGGGCTCTCCCCCCCCCCTTGGAACACGTCAATTGCCTTACAGAGGGCCCCTGGATGATCATCTAACCGTAATTAAATAGCTAAAAAGCCTAAGCTTCCGGGGGCTCAGCCCGTTGATCCCCTGCCGAGGCTCATGCTCTGGACCCCACGCCAATTTACCCTCTACCTGATCGATAATACTCCACTTTGAAAAACGTTCCGCGGGACCTGCATGTAACGTGTAAGACTGGTGGTGATGCAGATTTTTCGTCTGCCCCCCCCCCCCTTCCGAACTTTATTTTTCTCATTACGTCACTGCCCCTGGAATGTGAGCCCCCCCAATCCCAAACTGCTTCCGGCGCGCCTGTGGTATGGTGCTTGCTTGGAAAATTCTTTAAAACACGAAGTGGAGTTGGGCAACTGTACATTTGCTGGTATCAAGAACAATTGTTTAAAATAATTTTTGTATAGGGTGAGGGACCAAGGGTACTAAAGTAAAGTGCTGCCTTTGAATATAACAGACACAGAGTACAGATAACGAGAGAAACTAAGCTAAACATGTGGACATTGTTCCCCAAAAGGTAGACTACTCATGATTACTTCAGTCTCAAAAAAAAAAGTATTCCTTTTTCGGATGGTGCCATTTATTCATTTTCAGGGCAGGACCGTATCTAATTTTCAATTTTTAATTAAATGTTCATCCATGTCCAAAAATGCAAAAAAATCAAAAGTGAAAATGTATGCGATTTTCCTCACTACCGTCACTTCGTTCGAGGAGCATTTGTCACCGGAGCAATCGTCGGCGGAGCATGTGTCGGGTTACCATTCAGACTCGTAGACGTCTCGATACGACGATTATCATGGTAGGGTTCATTATTGCAATAGCTCTGTCTTAATTCTTCTCATACTATTCTCCTTCTATTTTAAAGCCTCTGAATTTTCCATCATGCAAGAAATTCGTGATTTTCCCGAACATTCTCGATCTTTTTTTCAAATATTAATTTTCTTCTTTTCCATTTGCACATTTCCCTCCAGTCCGAATAAAGCCATTTACCCCTATAATATGAATGTAGGCACCCTTTCGATCGTACTATTTCCTGTAAGTAGGGGTGTGCAACTGTTTTTGAAATTTTTCTTTGGCCGTACTTTTTGTTTCTAATCGTTTCAAATTGTATGGATTTGCAATAAGAATAAACTATGAATCAAGAATTTTCTTAATTTTTACACAACAATTAAATTGCAACAAATCCAATACATGAATAGAAACACTAGGTCAACGTGAAACATTTGGCTTCCCTATATTTTCATAATCGACGCATCCAAAATCGCATCATGTCGTTTGGACTCGATGTAATAGAAAGCAAGTGCAAGTCACACGTTGCATGAAAGTATTGCATTATCTGTTTTATAAAAGTGAAAAGTGGTCTAGAAACTCGTCATTTGGAAGGTTAATTTCAGCTTTAAATCGAGGTGCTACATCTGAACAGTTACAATCAACGGAATCATGACTTCTTTTACGGTAGAAAGCCCGAATGTGCGCTACACGCATCAACATATCGAGTCAGACTACGCTTACCAGACGACAAAAGTGGAGAAAAACGGGCAAAATATAAAGGTAATTTCTACAAAATATCCCTTTTTTTTAGTCATAAATATTTTATACACGACCCTCTTTAATCATCATTTATCCTTGGACATTTTGCCTAGTAAATGTGTGAAATAGAACTGTTATCGTTTACAGTCAAATTAAAGGAGACAAAAACAAGGTCAACGTTTGCTGGCGATAATGTGCGGGGATAACGTGTACAAATGTACAATGTAACGGGTCTCTGGCATATTTTTGCCCGTCACTGCCCCGGTGGACACGGTGCAGTGGGGGTACGTACCGGCAAATCAATATGGGCTCATCTGAATCTGAGGCTGGATGGCAGACCCTTGTGCCTTGCCTTGGCGTTTCGCGTGGCGTGCGATGCGCTTGGGCACTGGGGGTGGGCTTATGAATTTCTTGTTGAGATAATTTAAAGGCTTGTTAGCGCTAATTCTTGTTAATGTTAATTGGTATTCTGAAAGTTCTTTAGTTTACTCTTACTTAATTTTAACGGTTGCGATCTCTGAGTCTTAACTCAGACACGCCCATTTTTTTTCTTTGAAAGAAATGTCTCCTCTGTGAGTCCACAAAGTCTCCTTGGCATTGTTGTTGCTCAATCATGTATGATGTAATGCTGATGCTGAGGTAGAAAAACTACCTCCATCATGATCATACGACAGCCTCAAGGCTCTACTACAAACTGTTGTAGACCTCTAGAGTAGACTAAATATCTTGTAATAACCATGGAACTGGAAGATAAGATTTTTTTTAAAAATAGGTCTGCAACTTTACAAGAATTTCCTTAAAAGGCATCGTTTAACAATGTTAAATCTGAGATGCACGGCCCTGCATGTTATCAGTGTCTGTGATATGGTGTAATCAGGAGGTCCCAGGTACAAAACCAAGTCAATGCCCTGTTGTAAAGCATTAATCCTCATGATCAATTCCCTCAGAGAGGACTTAAAGCCGTTGGTCCCCTGAATTCTTACAGTACTTACAAGCATGCACATGCTTTCTTAATCTTAGCAGTGGGCTGAAATAATCAAACAAACAAAGATCTACCTGTTAGATTCATCATCCATGTATTATTAAGATACACACACATGTCTTGTTTTTCTTTGCAGGTTATCTAAAATTGTCTTAGTTGCATATTTTTCTATTTATTAATTTTCTGAGCATACTTTGTTTATGTTACAGTACGTATATTGTTAAACAGCATCTGAGGAACTAAAACTTCAAGTCTTCAACAAGCTCTGCTTCTAGTTAGTTCCTTTTTTCTCATGCTTTTTCTATTATATTTCTTGTTTCATTGCATATTTTGTAATATAATTATCCATTGTATTATGTTTTGCATGAGTAATACAAATTATTTGAATCTTGTTTTTCTTTGCAGGTTATCCCTGTGGATGTCCAGATGAAGTTCCGAACAGAGCGTAAGGTCCCTCGTCTAGGCGTGATGCTGGTGGGTTGGGGAGGGAACAATGGGAGTACCGTGACGGGGGCCGTCATCGCTAATCAGATGAAGATGTCATGGAGGACCAAGGAAGGGACTAGGGTAAGTACACTCATAGACCCATGGGCCCTGTTTCACAAAACTTGTCAACCAAGACAAATGACAGTTTTTGTTATAAGCTACTGAATTCCTTGCTTCTGATTGGTTATCAGCAGATTTGTCATTGAATATAGGCTTTGTGAAATGGTTCCCAGGAACCTGTCTTTAATACAAAGAGTTGCGATCAGGGAAAAATTAATATTTATTTTTCGGGGGCTACTTTTCAAGCTTGCCTGCATGAAAATAACATTCTACATTTTATTTTGCATTGAACTCTATGCAAATTTATGGGGCTCTTTTCTGATTTTCGGGGGCTCTTTTGGGCATTTTGTCACTCCATCCATCACAACTTATCTTCTTAAGTAAGAAAGTATTGTTTTACTTTGTGAGTTTCATAAAGAGACTTATTGAGAGCCCGCACATGTGTCATACCTGCCGACCCTTCTGAAAAATCCGAAATATTCTGATTTTCTAGACTTTTAGGACCTAAAAATTCAGAATTTTCAGATTTTTCAAAATTTTGTTTTATGTTTTTTTTTTTTTATTCTTTGGAGTTGGTTGTTGGTGCGATTTAAGAGTTCACATATTGTGTGCATTGAATCGCTGCATGATCGAGCAGCAAATTTGTATTCGCTTTTTTGTACAGATTTACTGCGTGCCACTGCACGTGCAAACGCCTGTTTAAGATGAAGTTGAGTTCTGGTCATGCGATTGCATTGTGAAAGGAACGGTGTGGAACCGACCAGAAAAGGTTGATCATCTAGCGTATGAGAATTTGTGTGTATTGCAAGGTTCTGGAATCATCAAAATGATAAGAAATGTGGCCAAGTCTTGGTAAAGTTACAAACACTTGCACAGAAAGATGTATATGGGACTACACGAACGGTAACCCGACACATGCTCCGCGACAATTGCTCCGCGACATTTGCTCCGCGACATTTGCTCCGCGACATTTGCTCCGCCGACAATTGCTCCGCCGACATTTGCTCCGCTAGCCTATAATCTAGGCGGAGTGCCGAGCTTTTTTCTTTGCTGCTAGACTAACCCTAAGCAGAACGTCTGATACGGCGAGACTACGAACCGTGAGTCGCGAAGCGGCTCACCGCCTATAATCACTGGTCTAGCTTTAGTCGTTTTTTTTTTTTATCGACCATGAATCCGTGGCAGTTTTTCGTACGAAAAAAACTCATGAATACGAAATGAACTCAACCAATCAGAAACTCGTATGGAGAAGAGTCTATGCATATGCATATTATAAATCATGTGACATTACGTCATTTTCTTCATCCAAGATGGCGGGTAGTTCATGCGACGACGATCTTCTGCGAGAAAGTTTATCATATGCGGCCAACAAACTAGGCATTCCTAATGGAAAATTCAGAGAACTGCAGGAATCCGCTATTCGTAGCGTTATTGAAGCCGGCAGGGATATTTTTGTTGCATTACCTACTGGTTTTGGAAAGAGTGCAATATACCAAGCAATCCCCTTGTGCTGTGATTTTCTACGCGACCACGGATTCTATGATCATGATGACTCGAGTCAAGGGGTAACCACTAATTTGTCATTGTAAATTTGATACGATAATTGTTTTACCATACAAAGATATATGTTTTATTGTTCACATAAAACTACAATTTTTTAATTTTTTGATATTTCACAGTACTTAGTAAAATGATCATTTTAAAGATTTTTTTGGTTTCATCTCCCCTTTTCCTTTTTATTACCCCTATTTAGTAATGGACGAGCGCAATCTTTTTTCGTTGCGGTTTCTAATATCTGATTGGTCGAACGTCACATAGGTGTACCATATTTGGTAGGGCTGTTGAATGATTCATAGATCCGCCATTTTGAATATGTATGAATATTGATTAGCTAGACCAGTGATTATAGGCGGTGAGCCGCTTCGCGGCTCACGGTTCGTAGTCTCGCCGTATCAGACGTTCTGCTTAAGGTTAGTCTAGCAGCAAAGAAAAAAGCTCGGCACTCCGCCTAGATTATAGGCTATTGCTCCGCCGACATATGCTCCGCCGACATTTGCTCCGCCGACATTTGCTCCGCCGACAATTGCTCCGCCGACATTTGCTCCGCCGACAATTGCTCCGCCGACAATTGCTCCGCAAAACGCGACAATTGCTCCGGTGACAAATGCTCCTCGAACGACAGTTACTCCGCCGACATTTGCTCCGCCGACAATTGCTCCGCCGACATTTGCTCCGCCGACAATTCCTCCGCCGACAATTGTTCCGCAAAATGCGATAATTGCTCCGGTAACATTTGCTCCGCCGACAATTGCTCCGCCAACAGTTGCTCCGCCGACATTTGCTCCGCCTGAAGCGACACTTGCTCCGGTGACAATGTTGATGATAATAATAATAACTAGATTTGTAATACTTGTTTTGAACAAGACAGTATAGGTGGGCTGGTCTAACTAAAATTTGAGACAAAATAAAGGGCAAATTTAAGATAGCTTATTGTCTCAGCTACAACATACTCGAAGTTCAGCGTAAACGAAGCTAAAACGACGGAGATATTGCTCGCGAAAGACGGGAATGTAGAATCGAGTTTTGAAAAAAGTCATTTCCATAGAGAATACACGCAAAAAGTGAAAAATTGATATTCCTCCTTTAATCGCAAAAATACGCCATGATGCTTTTGTCAAAATGAAAAATTGTGCATTCGTAGAAGATTGTCCCAGCTAGAACATATCAAAATTTGGAAGAAAATCGATCAATATTTACAGAGATACATGTACAATCAATTTTCAAAAAATATGTTGACGTCATAATATGCAAATTGGAATTTTGAGTTCGGAGGCCCTTATGATGACGTCATGAGTTAATTGAGGGTCAAATGAGACCAGAAATCATATTTCCAATTCATACTCTACATAATATGAAACAAAATTTGGGGTCACCTTACATCCTAAAGAGCTACAATGGATTTTGTATAGGCATGTTTTTGCCCATATATGCTATGTATTACAAGAGCTCGCACGCACGGACGCTCACTCCGTTATTAATGGTCAGAAATATGTTAACAAGGTATCAAAATGCTTGGGGAAATGTGCCAAATATGATGACAAAGAAAAATTGGCGATTCTTTGTTGCAAAATGCCAGAACGCGCGAAAACACGCGCGTGTGCGAGATTTTTTATAAAATGCTTAAAATGGCCAAAAACGTATGTAAAATTATTTTGAGACTATTTTGAGCATTTTAATATTTTGCGCGCGCACTGACGCGCGGACGTTCGCGAACTCGCGCGTTTCTTTTTTACCTGAAATTGACCGGACGAATATTGACCTTAATCATGATAAATATGAATCAAAAATGGCTTTTGGTTATAAAGATATGATCATGAGTTGATTTTCAGAAAAATTAACAAAATGGCGCCTAGATGACGTTATCAGTGAAGGTCATAGTTGAAAACGTTATTGTGTTTTGTACATATGCCTATACATATATGTGTGCCAAATTTGAAGGCATTTGATTGAGTCATTTTCAAGTAATCGTGCTTACAAAAAAGTGGTTTGAAATAAGTAAAGTAAATAATAAAGGCAATTCTAACAAAATAATAAGGTGGTCTGTACGATATACAGCCCACCTGATAATAAAGGCAATTTTAACAAAATTATAAGGTGATCTGTATTAGATACAGCCCACCTAATAATAAAGGCAATTCTAACGAAATTATAAGGTGGTCTGTACGATATACAGCCCGCCTGATAAATAAATAAAGGTAATTGTAACGAAATTATAAGTTGGCCTGTACGATAATCAACCCACCTGATGAATAAATAAATAATAAAGGCAATTCTAACGAAATTATAAGCTGGTCTGTACGATATACAGCCCACCTAACAATAAAGAATAATAAAGGCGATTTTAACAGAATTATAAGGTGGTCTGTATAAGATACAGCCCACCTGATAATAAAGGGAAATCTAACGAAATTATAAGGTGGTCTGTACGATATACAGCCCACCTGATAATAAATAAATAAATAAACAAAGGCAATTCTAACGAAATTATAAGGTGGTCTGTACGATATACATGTACAGCCCACCTGATAATTACAAAAATAACATTAGTAACACCACCAACCATAATAATCATTGTTGTCATTATTATTGTGATACTGCTTCTAATACTACTCCTACTACATGTACTACGAAGAAGGAGGGGAAGAGGAAGAATCTTATTGTTTATTTTCTGTATTATCGAGACATACAAATGCACAGGGAGGTAAAAGAGGGAAAAGTAAAGCGACGATCAGGGAGAGAGAGGGAGAGAGAACGAGAGGGGATAGCCTATGGCCCGGGTTCAAATTCAGTTATCTTTAATTTATTTGACCCAGTTGGCATTGGCATGCATCCAGAAAGATTTTCATCATGTGTTTGATCTTGTATTGAAAAAAAGATCAAACACATCATCATAATCTACAGAGTGCAACCAAACATTTCTTAACAACAATTGAAATTTCTTTCAGGAAGCCTAACACTAAAAGCTGTTGATTCAAAGAGCATCGTAGAGACGATGAACAAATAATAATAATAATAATACATTCACTTCTATTTTCCCCGCAAAATAATCCGAACAAAAGAATCAACCGAGGGAAATCAACTGTTATCAACTGAATTTATCATGAGTCCTTGAAAAATTAATTAATACTGCTTGTCAAATATTATTGAAGAACAGCAAAGGCGAACGCGAAAGTCGCTACAATTCAGAAATCATTGCTTGCATTGCTTTTCTCTCAAAATTACCGTGAGATATCAAGCTACATAGAACTATGATCAACACAAAAGATATTGTCTTGAAAACAGTCAGAAACATTAGAACTTGAATGAATAAAACATAATGCAAATGAATAAGACTAGAATGAATAGGACACAGGTTAATTTCTACCATTTAAATCATCCAGTACCAAATACCTGAGCAAAATTCCAACCAGATGCATTTAATGGTAAACTTAAAGACAATGATTCATGACAATTGTCAATTG